GCCGCGCGCCCTGCCCGCTTCAGCCGCCCCCGGGGCCGCCGGCGGCCCATGAGCCCCGGCCTCAAAGTTTGCGGCGGACGGGCGGGCGCGGAGCCTCCAAGATGCCGTTCCACCCGGTGACGGCGGCGTTGATGTACCGGGGCATCTACACCGTGCCCAACCTGCTGTCGGAGCAGCGTCCCGTGGACATCCCCGAGGACGAACTGGAGGGTGAGTGCCCCGCCGGGACCCCTGCCCGCCGGCCCTCCTACCTGTGCGCCCAGGTGAAGCGCGGCTGGGGCGCCCGGGTTGGGGGCTGTCGCAGGTGCCGGCTGCCAGGTGGGCGCCCCAGCGAACAGCTGCGCGGGGAGGCAGGACCCGCCTGCACCCCTGAGCGCCGCGCTGGGGGTTCCCGAGGCGGAGGGGCGGCTCAGCGCCTGGCCGCGTGGCCCCCGGCGCTGCGGAAACTTGCCGGGCCCCGCAGCGGGGTCACGGGGCCGCGCAGCCCGCGGCGAAGGTGCCGCAACGCAGCAGACTCGGGTGGGGGTCCGAGCTGCGCCCCCCACGCGGGCCCGGCCGGAGCGCCCGCATCCTGATCCCCTCCGCGGCGCCCGCCCGCGGCTCTGTGCTCGCATTGACATTCCGCTCGTGTCGCTTTAAAAATCCAATCTGCTCGGGCAGCCGGAGAAGGGGAGAGGGCGACTGCCCTGCTCTTGCCTGCTGTGGGGCCGCCCCCATCCCCACCTGCGGCTGTAGCCCCTTCCCCGCAGGGCTGCGGGGACCCCCAGCCCGGGGCACCGGGAAGGCAGCCCGGGAGGCGGTGGCGACAACAAGTGGCCGGATTGGGCGGCTCGGTCGCGGTTGCGATAGCCCAGCAGGGGAGGGAAAGGCAGAGAGGCCAGGACCCCAACCTGCCCCAGTCCCTCCGCCTCTCAGACATGAACGGGGACTGCAGGCAGTTGGCTAGGCGAGATCAGAGCTGAGGGCAGGGCTGGGGTCCCCAGGCAGAGTGTCCTGGGGAGCAGTGAGCCCCCTGGGGCCTGCCCAGCTCTTTCCCTGCGGGGCTGTGGGGAGGTGCTCAGGCTTCCCCTCCCCCCCACCTCCTGGGGCTCCGTATGAAGTGGAGTGGGGGGCTCTGGCCTCCTGGGATCCTCTTGTCTGCTGTGGGGGAGGGGCTGCCACCCAGAGGCTGGGCCTCTCTCTGGGTCCCTTGGGTCCTGGGATCTCTGAGATCTGGGGGCTCATCAGGGCTATGGGGGTGCAGCTAGGAGAGTAGCACAGGGATGATGGTGGGAGCCCCGGGGAAGCCTCCTTCATCCCCAGGCCCAGATGGGGCAGATCTTGGGGGAGTCAGGCTCGGCCAGGGGTAGCTCCAGAGAGAGGAGGCCACTGCCACGTTCACTGCACCACAGGCCACCTGCTCCTCGCCCACTGCCCCCGCAAACCCTCACATGCCGGGAGAGCCACGGAGACAGGGTCTGGGGTTTGCTGCCAGCAGGACGGAGGGAGGGGTGCCATGCCCCTCACCTGACCTCACCGATCATCCCCAAAGCCCAGGGTCCAGAGTGTCATTCAGGCCCTGGGAGGAGAAGTTTGATGAGGGCCAAGAAGGCAGGGGATGGGGCGTAGGCCATCTCTTCCCCACTCTCCTCCCCTGTGACCTGGACACTCCAGACCTCCTGCCAGTTTCCTCCTCATCCGTCTCTCCCTGCTGGTCACTTGGACACGGGTCAACATGTCTCCCAGACCCCAGGTCATTCCCTCCCTTTGCTCCCGGCACCCCCACCATGACCCCGGCACTGGTACTCCCGGTCTCGCTGGCTCGCATCTCTCCAGCTCCCCCAGTCCTGGCGTGCACCCCCCGAGGAAAGGGAGAAGCTGGGGAGGCCGGGCACAGGGGCGAGGGGGCACAGGGTGGGCAGTGCAGGGCAGAAGCCGCAGGCTCCTCTTGGGCAGCCCAGCCGACGTGCTGGCAGGAGCCCAGTGGCATTAGTCACCAGCCACACCACATGCGCTCCCCGCTTCTCTCCTGTCCCCTTCTCCAGGGCCCTGGGGAGCAGAGGGCCCCTGACGCAGGGGGCATCTGAAGGGCAGGGCCCTGCCTGGGGTGGGTAGATGGGGGCTGTGGACGGTGGATGGTTCCAGAGGAAGGCAAGAAGTCCTCTGTGACGGACCCTCTTCTTGGCTGCGCACACCCCAAAAGCCCTCTGCCGGCCCCAGGCCCCTTGCAGTGGTTCCTGAATGCCAGGGCCAGGTGGAGAAAGTGGCCGTCCCTAGCAGAGATCCCACCCCCCCCACTTCCCCTCTCTAGTGCCCCAGGAGTGCCCCTGCTCCCAACAGTCTGGGTGAGACCCCGGCCCTCTGCTGGGACGACGAGGCCATCAGCGAGGGAGCCAAATGTGCCGGGCAGAGGGAGCCGGGCAGCCTGGGACTGCTGCAGACAGTGCGTGCCTGCCACAGGAACCAGGGGCGGTCAGTCTGGCGGGGGAGGACCAGCTAGGGAGGTGGGGAGTGCAGTCCAGTTGAGGATTTCCGGGCTAGGCAGCATGGGGTTTTGAGTTCCTGCACTCTCGGCTCATTGAGTGACCTTGGGCAATCACGTGCCTCTCTGAGCCTCGGTTTCTCCACATGTAAAGGGGGGTTGGGGACAGAGGACGCAGTGGAAGTACTCAGCACAGGGCCCTGCAGCAGGAGCCCCGGGACCCAGATGCAACGTGAGAGCAGGCTCTGCAATGTGTAGGGCCCATGAGGCAGGGGCGTGGGGTGTGCAGGGCAGGCTTGGGGACCGGGCTAGGTGGAAAAGGTCTTGAAGATCTGGCAGAGGCACCTGGGGACCTGTGGCCCTGGGGAGCCGTGGATGGCAGTTGGTAGGATAGGGAGGAGGCTGGGCAGAGCTGGCCTGAGGCCCACTCAGCCCCTGGGAGGGAGAGGCACGGCTGTCCTGGATTATGGCTGGGACGCACCCCCTCCCCACACGCATGCACAGCAGAGTCCTGCAGGGCACTCAGGCTGGACCCAGCAGCGTCAGTGGGACTTGAGCACCTGAGGGTGGAATGGCGGTGGCCGTAGCCTTAGCCCTTCTGGCCAGAGAGGAGGAAAGGGTCAGACAGGCAGACAGCCACCAGGGCAGGGTTCTGGGCTTGACACTTGGCCTGCCCAGGCACACGGTGGGGCCTGTGTTCGGACTGGCCCAATGGGGGCCTTCGGGGCAGGGGAGGCTTGCAAGTCCCCTTCCCTGCCTCTCTTCCCTGCAAGCCTAGCAGCTGCCTCTGCACAGGCCAAACACTCAGGGAGGCCGGAGTAGTGGGGCACAGGGCCAACGCCGCGGAGAGTGGCAGCCACTGCGGAGGACGGACACTGCCCCTTCCTGTGGCCTCCAGCCGGTGCCTCCCTCCTCCCCAGACTCTGACGGAGTGCTGGTGTCCCTTGGGGCCTGCTGGGGACTCAGGCCCTGATGAAGCTCCGCAGGTTGGGGAGAGGATTGGGGGATGTCAGGCTGGAGGCAGCAGGTGGGGACAGCATCAGTCTGGAAGCCTGGTGTCCCTGCCAGCCCATTTCCGGGCCTCCTGGGGGCAGGCAAGAAGCAAGGCTTTCGGGGAGATGTACCCAGCTGTGATGCACTGTTGGCACAGCAATGACAAGGAGCTGTGACACCCACCCACTCAGGGAGGCCCCTGCAGAGGCCGGGCCTCGGCCGTGGTGCAGGGTCTGGTCTCCATTTCACAGATGAGGCCCCTAAGGCTGCGAGAGGGCCATGCCTCGCCCAGGTCACTCGGCTGCTAAGCAGCAGAGACAGAATCCAAGAATGGGCCTGGGGTCCCGGCACCAGCCAACGGGAAGGCTGGCCTGGTGTCCCGAGTTCCTTGGTCCTCCCTCTCCCTCTGGCTCTGCCATCTGGGACACTCTGATTTATAGTGTCCGTCCCTGAGCCAGGCCTGGCCAAACACATACTTCATTTTCCTGCTTAATCATCCGGTAGCCCCATTGTACAGGTGAGCACATACCTGCCCAAAGTCACCCAGCCAAGACGTAGGAGAGCTGGGATTTGACCCTGGGTCTCTGCAACTTCACCTGCCTCCATGGCCAAGAAGGTGGGGCCCGAATTTGGCCTCCAGTGGCTGGTGGGCGTCAGCTGGGGCTGGGGCAGGGCTCCGAGCATGGGCAAGGGCAGGAAGCAGGACTCTGTGGTGTGAGTTGGGTGTGCCAAAGAGGGGTGGTTGAAGGGACGCCTGGACGGGGACGTGGCAGTCTGTGGATTTACCTAGTGGCCTGGGGAGGTTAGCCTTGCCCGAGAAATGGCTGTGGGGCCCATGGTGCTGACTCAGGGCCTGTCGCCGGCCCACATACCTTGAGATTCACTTGCCCTTCCCTCCAGCCCCGTGCGTTTCCTTGGGGCCTCCAGCAAAGAGCCCTGGGCTCTGGGAGCCACACGTGGCCACTGCCAGGGTAGGGGATAGATAGCGTGGACCTCAGCTCATGGCAGGGGAGGGGGCGGCTTCACTGCAGCCCCCGCTGTGCGTCCAGGACTCTGCCATCCACCCTGCGATCTCCCAGTGCGCCTCTTCCGGGGAAGCCAAGGGCTCCGACAGGTGCAGTGCCTGATCCCGGGTCCCCTGCCCCCAAACAGCCCTGGCCCAGAGGTCCAAGGATGTCCCCCACCAAATTCAGCGTGATTCCCCTCTTCTGGGGGTGGCCCTTAGAGTAGGTGGGGGTAGGTCCTCGGGGGCTGGATAAGGGGACAAGCAGCCTCCCGAGCCTCCCCTCATGTCTTGGCTGCCAGGGAGGGAGAACGCAGACGGGACAGTTAGCGGGCTCCTAGTGACAGCCTCACGTAGAGTGGTGTGTGAACCCTGTGTGCTCCAGATGGGCAGGTTCCCAGATCGGTCATTCATTCATCCCATCATTCATTCAGCAAATGTTTATGCTTGAATGACAGGCCCTGTCCTAGCCAGCGGGGACACAACTGAGAACAAGACCGACCCCTCCCTGCTGTCTTGGCCCTTGTGGTTCACAATTCAGTGTGGTCAGTGCAAGGGCCAGGGAAGAGCAGGGCGTGCGGGGGCCCAGAGGAGGGCCAGAGTCAGCGAGGGCAGAGAGGGCTCTGGGGAGAAGGTCCCGTCGCGTCAGAGGTCACCGCAGCGAGGGGAAGGGCGTTCCAGGTGAAAGGAGCCATGTGTTCAAAGGCCTGCAGGTAGAGCAGGCCTGGTGCCACCAGGACCGAGAGCCCTAGGGCTGGAGTTGAGGATACCTGGGGTGGGCAGAGCCTGCGGCTGCGGCCAGGAGAGCAGCACTGGCCAGAAACCTAAGTGATGCCTTTATCTCCACCCAGAGACTCCCAGGTGTCTGGAGTCCCCTCAGCAGCCTCCATGGCTGCTGGCCTCTGCTTACACACCTCTGATGACGGGGAGCTCACCACCTCGTCCCCATGGAAACTCTAGGCAGGAGTTGGCTGGGAGTTCCCGGAGTCCAGGCTTTGCAGAAACCCCTGGCCGTGGCCCAGACCTCCCAGCCTAGCTGCCTCTCTGGCCCCGGCGCCACTGGGACCAGATTCTCAGGCCCTGGCCGGGATGGATGGGGGAAGTCCAGAGTCAGAGGCTCTGGGGGTCCGGGTGACTCAGGTACAGGACACAGTTGGTCTGTCTTGGCCCACAGGTGAGCCAGTCTGACCCCCCAGGCCTTGGATGCAGACACCAGGTGGGAAGGGCCTCATGAGGGTAGGGGCTTGGCCCAAGCCACGTTGCTGTGTGACCTGGAACACATGGCCACCCTCTCTGGGCCACGGCCCCTAGTCTGTGGCAGGGCCAACAGGCTGGGCTGGACTCTCCTACCTTGCTGAGACCAGGGAATGACCCCAAGGTGCAGGATCAGGGTTCACAGACTCCCTAAGGCAAGGCCTGGGCCACCGTCAGCGGCCGAAACAGCCCTGACCCCACACTGACGCTGGGGGGCCGCCCGGCCTCGCCGGGCCTGTTTTCTGGGTCTGTAGCATGGGACACCTCGCCTGTCGCTGCTTCTACACACACGCGCGGGGAGCCCCACGCTGCCTGCCGCAGTCCCGCACAGGGGAGTGGCTGAGCAAAGGCCAGGAGGCCGGCAGGGGAAAAGGAGACCCCCGGGGAGCTGGAGCGAGGGGACTGAGATTCTCCCTGTCCCCAAAGGCCGATGCTCTTTGAGGCTGTGCTGATTAAGGGATCACAGCAGACAGAGCAAAGGTGGAAGTTAGGACCCCTTGACATTCCGTGGGAGTCTTTGGTACAACCCTGTCGTCCCTCATCATTCGCCCATTTTACTGTGGGTAAACTGAGGCCGGCCCAAGTCGTGCATTGGGTTGCTCGTTCCCAGGCTCCCAGCCCAGTGTATTGCTCCCCACTCCCGAGTCACCCAGGTCCTCAGGCCACAGTTTCTCCCTCTGTACAACAGGGGGTGGCCCCCACATCTGTCCCTGCCTGGGCCTGGTGGAGCCCCCGCCGTTCCACCTGTTTCCCCCCGGCCGGGAGGCGCCCTTTAGTCGGCAGCCACCACTGCCTCCCGTGGCTGCCGTGAGCGAGGGAGCCTTGGCCGGTGTCAGAGCTGGGCCCGAGGAAGCGCCGGGTGGGGACAGGGAGGGGAGGGGGAGAGGGGTCTGGCAGGAGTGGGGATGGCGGGAAGCCTTCCCCTGACCAGCCCCAGTGTCCTCTGCCACACGTGGTCCCCACCACACGGGGTCGCCATGCGCACGCCAGGAGAGGCTGCCCGAGCGTGAGCGCTCAGACCAGACCCCGAGGGGTCACTGCGGCCTGGCCCAAGCTGCCCTATTCAGCCCACCCAGAGGTCCCCGAGTGCAGCCCCGTTAGCCCACTCTGGGGCCACCCCCAGATCCGCAGGCTGTGGGTCGGGTTCTCAGTACTGTGCTCAGGCTGTAGTTTGGCGATCCTGGGGTCTGGGAAGGGGGGTGTTGGGGATAAGACTGAGGTCCCAGCCTGCTCTGCTCCCCCCACAGAGATACGTGAGGCCTTCAAGGTGTTTGACCGTGACGGCAATGGCTTCATCTCCAAGCAGGAGCTGGGCACGGCCATGCGCTCCCTGGGCTACATGCCCAACGAGGTGGAGCTGGAGGTTATCATCCAACGGCTGGACATGGACGGTGAGCGGTGCCCCGCCTCAGCTTCCTCACCTGTCACCTGCACCACTGAGACTGAGCCCGCCCTGGGCCTCTCGATCCCGCGACGTGGAGCCACCCCAAAGCCCATGGCGCGTCACAGTCAGGTCTGGTCCCATTTCTCAGTTTGGAGAATGGAGGCCAGAGAGGTGACAGTCCCAGCCACACACAGGGGTCCGAGACCGTTCCTGTCTGTATTTGAGAAATTTTAAAGCACAGAAAAGTAGAAGGGGTATAATAATAGCCCAGGTCCCACCCCTCAGAATGAAATCATGACTTTAGCTGTACTGGCCACCTGGCATTTTATTAAGGAAGAATTCCTATGAAGGACCAGTAATGCCAGTCCCCCCTTCCTCATCCCACCCGTGGCCTCCTCCTCTCCATGCAGAGAGCAGATGACAGCCTGGCCGGTCACCCCTGTCCTGAGCTTCATTCGCTGTCTGTGTGGTGGACAGTGTCGGGCCCCCACCCGCCCAGGAGATGGGGATGGTTCCACCCTCCCTGGGGGCCTCATCACACGTGGTGACTTTAGCATCGGCCCAGAGGCTGGCACGTGTGATGCCCCTGAAATTGACTCAAGGCTCAGAGAAGACGGGCACCTGCCTGAGGTCACTGATGGGCCCAAGGTGGGTCCTGGGCTGCCCGCCTGGGCCAGGTCTTGGCCTGATCTGCTGATTGGTCCTGTACCTGCGCCAGGTGATGGCCAAGTGGACTTTGAGGAGTTTGTGACCCTCCTGGGACCCAAGCTCTCCACCTCCGGGATCCCAGAGAAGTTCCACGGCACTGACTTTGACACGGTCTTCTGGAAGGTATGCCCTGCTGGTTGGGACCCAGGGCTGTGCACACTGTGGAGAACCTTTCCAGGGCCAGTGAATGGCTTGGCCCACACTGTAAAGGGGGATGACTAGGCCATTCTTCTGTCCACTGGACGTCTTGCCTCCCAGAGGGCCATGGGCTCCCTGGGGGAGGCTGGTGTCGCTCAGGGACTCCAGGGGGATGCAGCAAGTGGCTTCCAGCCCTCTGGAATCGGGAGGTCTGTCGCTGGGCTCGTGTGGCTGCAGGGTGGGGACTGTGGTGGCAGCCAGAGCATTGTGTCCCCCCTAAGTGCGACATGCAGAAGCTGACAGTGGACGAGCTGAAGCGGCTGCTCTACGACACCTTCTGCGAGCACCTCTCCATGAAGGACATAGAGAACATCATCATGACGGAGGAGGAGAGCCACCTGGGCACGGCTGAGGAATGCCCCGTGGACGTGGAGAGTGAGTGACCGGTCCGGAGCCCCAGGGGCAAGCCCAGCTGCTTGAGCAGGGGGACATACCGGGGGTTTGCAGAGGGGGGCTGGGGGGCCTCCTTGCCTGTCTCAAGTCTCTGTCCCAGTGTGCCCCATGGGATAAGCCCTGACTCCGTCGCTTTGATGTCCCCTTCTGTCTTCCTCTGCTCCCCGGTGCTCCCGGTGGCGGCGGCGGTCACAGCCTGCTCCAACCAGCAGATCCGGCAGACGTGCGTGCGCAAGAGTCTGATCTGCGCCTTCGCCATCGCCTTCATCATCAGCGTCATGCTCATTGCGGCCAACCAGGTGCTGCGCAGTGGCATGAAATAGCCGCCTCCTGGGGCCACTCCACACCTCTGCCACCTGCAGCCCTCTCCCTCGGCCAGCTCCCTGGGCCACTTCAGGGCCTGGACGTCCGGTGACCCCACCCCATCCGCCCCATGGGCCTTGCATGGAGCCGTGGCCTGGCTGTGGAGGGCCTGGTGGCGGCTCCAAGGATGGCCCCCACCCCGCCTATACCCTGCCGTGCCCTCGCCCTGGCCTGTATGTAGTGCTAACTCTTCCCGCTGTCCAGGGGCTCCTGGGAAATTAAGGAGGGATTTGTACAGGAAGCCCCAGGACCCAGTCACTGGGATGGTTCCTTAGGCAGGAGAGGCCCCTGTGCCCAGAGAGGGCAGCTGCCTGCCCAGGACCACACAGCCAACCCTAGGCCTGGTTCCTGATGTTTGCCCGGGGCTCTGGGGAGGGCAGGGGCAGAAGGCTTCCTCCTGGGTCTCCTGGGCCCTGCTCCCTGGCATGGGCCTGAGGAGGCCCCTGGCCTTCTCCTGGGTCCCTTCCTCTGGCCCTCCTAGACCCAGCCCTCCAGCTCCACGCACCCGCTGGGGCCAGAGCCAGCCCATTTCACAGGTGAGGAGCCTGAGGCTCAGAGGGCCCGAGATTTGGCCTCAGTTCCCTCTTCAACAGGGATTTTCAGGGAGGGCAGAAGATCATGGCATCTGAGGTGGCCCTGCAGTCTTCCCACATTCTGCTCCCCTGCCACCAGAGGCCCAGCCACCAAGAGCCACATTGCCCACCACCCCAGCGCAGAACCTAGAACCGTAGTCCAACTGAGGAAGGAAGCAGGAGCTGGGGCCAAATAGCCCAGCAGCCTGTGTGGTCCCCGCCAGCAAGGGGGCTCCTCCAGGGCTGAACCTTGGGAGGGCCCTTGCGCCACCCTGGGCTGAGGAGCTGGCGCAGCCAGTGCCACGAGGCTCGGCCAGGCCACGCTCCCAAGCCCAGGGCTGCCCCCAACTGCTCTCCCCCTTTGAGGCTGGAGACTAGCTGCTGTCCCTGCCCAGCTGTGCCATCTCAAACACTCGGGCACAGCTCACCTGGGCAGATGTGGGGGCTGTGAATTCTACCCAAGCTGGGATGGCAGCACAGCCCTCGGGCTCCTCTCCTCAGACCTGGAGCCACTTCTCAGCGGGCAACAGGTGCAGCCACCCTGGCGCACCCTCTGCCTGGCCGCGCTGAGCCTCCGCTGGTCCCAAGGGAGGAGGGCAGTGAGCATGGACCACCGTGGAAGGATCACACCTTGTTCTAGCCCTGCCCAACCTCTGAGAGGGGCTGGAGAGTGGAGCTCAGAGCCCTGGGCAGGGGCAGCACCGCCAGACCACCGTGGTGACAGACAAGACTTTCTTTATCAACATCTGGAAGGTTTCTCCTCCATCCTCTCAAGATGTCACATGAGGGAGGGGGGCAGGAGGCCAGGCCGACAGTCTCAGGGGCTCCCTGCGTGCAGCAGGAAGGGGCTCGGCTTCCCCTCAGCTTTACTGTGACTGAAGAGAGAAGTGACCAGGTGGGGGTCAGGCCGGGTTGAGGGGCTCAGCCCCACTGGACTCTGGGCTGCAGGGGCCACCCCCCAGGTGGGGGTGCCCGCAGGGATGGCGGCAGCTCCTGGACTGGCGGCCAGCCCACAGGGTACTGGAAGACGGTGGCTCTGGTGGGTTCGGCCCTAGAGAAAGGAGAGGGGCAGAGGATTAGAGTGGGACACAGCCCAGGCCCAGGCTGGGCACCCCGCACCCCAGCTCACCCGCCCCACCACCCTGGCTGTGCAGAGGGTCAGCTGCCTACACGACCTTTCTGGAAAACACGCAGACCCTCTGAGCCAGCAACCTCACCTCTAGGAACTGAGCCCGAGGAACTAGTGGGATTGTAGGCAGAGACTGAGCTACGAGAATGGCCGTGAGACAATGGAAATGGCCTTAGCGTCCACCCGCGGGGACTGACTAAATACGTATGCACGTCCGCAGCGGAGAATGCTATGCCGCCTGCGTAGAAATCAAGGCAGATTTATTCGCACTGACGGGGAAAGACATGCTGGGTGAGTAGGGAGAAAAAAGCAGCTTATAAAATAATGTACATAGCATGATACTATTTTTGTTTAAAGATATATAAAATATATAAATGCATAAAAAAATCCCTGGAAGACACCGCAAAATGTTAACCATGGTTCTGAGTGGTGCAATTATGGGTGATTTTTTTACGTCTTTATACTTTTCGAAAGTTTTACAAGCACGCAAGCCTTTGAAATCGGAAAAAAATATTGTCTAAAATTTTTTTTTTAAAAGCCTCATTTCTCATGCTACTCACTCTCCTCCTCCTCAACGTTCACCTCTGCTGGAACTTAGGCCCGCTTGAAGTGCCTGTCGTAAGAAAGGCATCCTCCACGCCCAGCCTGGGGCACCCTGTCCAAAGGGAGCTGTCCAGAGCCCAGTGACTGCTGAATGACGAGCAGCCATGCTGAGGGCTCTTACTGACCAGGCACTGTTCCGGGCCAGACATCATGGGCTAGGGAGAAACTTCAAGAATCCTCACTCGAACCCCATTTTATAGATGAGGCAACTGAGGTGCAAGAAGTCAGTCATGTGACCAAGTGACACTGTCAGGGTGGAGTAGAAGGGACTGGAATGGAATCCACACATGGCTCCAGACACTGCCCCTTCCCCCTCAGCCCCCTCTCCCCCAGCAGCACCCTACCCGGCCCCACAGCAGCCCCTGGGGAGGGCGAGGCTCCAGCAGCTCCTGGTAGGCTCACGGGCCTGGCGGCCAGCCCCCTGCAGAGAAGGGCCTGGGTCCTCCGGGACAGGCGTGTGGAGGAGCAGGTGGGGAGCTGGGCTCGGAAGCCCTGGAGATGGCCCCACTGCACCACCCAACCTGCCCCCCTCTGGGCCTGTCCAGCCACACAGGGTCGAGGACTTCAGGGAGCCCTAGGTACAGCCTCCAGGGCCTCCAGGTGTGAGAGGACAGGGACATCCCCTGCTCCATGGCTTGCTGCCTGCTGGAAAGTGCAGCAAGCAGCTCTTGACATGATTTATGGCACTGGGGAGATTTCATAAACTCCGCCAGCCGCAGAGAAGGGGGGGTAGGCTCCGCAGTTGCAGGAAGGGAGAGCCCCAGATGCCAGCCAAGCCTGGGCTCCCCCGGGAGGCAGTGATCCTCGGGAGCCCCTTCCTCCAGAAAATGGGGCAGATTCTCGGGCAGCTGGGACCTAACTCCTGGGTCCAAGGCTCAGCCCGGAGCCCCTGCCCACCCTGAGGGCAAACCCTGCGTCTGCTCTCACACATTGGCACGTTGCCAGGGCCCCAGACGTGGACATCCAAGCCTTGGAGGGCACCCCTCTCACCCTTGCACAGTAGACAGTGCAGGGACACTGAGGTATGCATGTGCCACCACTCTGCTTGTGGCTTCTCTTGTGACCTGTTTGCCCTGTGCCCAAGGACAGGAGCAGCTCCCTTGCATTTACCCAGCCACAGTCCTAACCAAAAGGACCCAGAGTCTGGGGAGGAGGATGGGCTGGGATGGCTGCACTGGCCACACAGGGGTCCAAAGGGGCAGATTAAGAGGGATAAAGCCACAATCTGAAGAGCCAACAATGGGAAGCAGGACAGGCACTGGCCTCGCCCCGGGGATTAGTCTGTGTCTGAGGCCGCCTCTTCCTCCCCCGGTTGCTCTCCGCACATCCCTCAGGGTCATTCTGCCGAGGGGACAGCACAGCGCTGCCAGGCTGGGGCTCATGGAGCTGCCATGTCCCCACATTTACAAGGAGGGCTCTGCTCAGCCTATGGGGGTTGGAGCCCTCAGGTCAGGGTGGCCCCAGGTGGCCCATGCAGCCACCTGTGCCCCATGCCCTGGGGGAGGAAACAGACACCCAGAGAGGAAGAGGAGCTGCTGCAGGTCCCCAGCCCAGTGGCTACAAGAGGCCCCCGGCATTAACACCCAGTGATCAGTCATCCAGGCCCGGGACCCTGCTCCCCTAAATGCTCAATCATGCAGTCAACCTGTCCTGGGCCCCCCAAGCGTGCTCAGGCTGTGAGGGGGCAGCCGGGGGCTGGAAGGGTGATGTCCTAGCTAAAGCTCCCAGGATGCGGCTGACTTTGCCAGGCACAGAGGTAGGAGGCAGTTTCTGCAGAGGAAATGGTACGTACAAGGTGCCCCCAAAGTACAAACGATGCCATGTCTAAGACGCTGCCAAGTGTCCACTGCAACTGGCAGAGGCCAGATGTAAGAGGGGAGAAGGTGACCCCACAGGCCAGGAGGTGGAGGGAGCCAGGGAGGGCAAGGTGCATCAGGGCTGTGGGGTTGGGGATGACCTGCAGGGGAGAGGGGAGGTGAGACCAGGGAGGGGGCGCTGTGGCCACCCAGGAGAGCCAGGGGGAGGAAGGACACGGAGGGCCCTGTTCCCATAGGACTGCTTCCAGGCTGGAGGCGGGGACAGGAACACACCAGGACCTGGGGACTTGAATCCGCCCCCTCCCCCAATCCCACAGAGGGGGGCCATGAGTGCAGGGGCAGGGGCCAAAGCCTGGGGCACCGGGAACAGGGGTCATGTTCCCGAGACCAGTCTGCGGGGAGAGAGGGCTGTGCAAGCCCAAGGCAGCAATGACAAAAGCCGGAGTAAACAGTCACCTCCCTTCCCCAAACCCCTTTTTCTCAAGGCTGGAGAAAAAGTTCATCTTAGCTGAGCCCTCAGGAGGCAGGTGCACAGGTGGGTGGGCACAGAGAACAAGTGGCCGTTGAGAAAGCACTCATCCCTCGGAAGTGGCCAGGCCAGGTGGCAGGAGGGGAACAGCCTGGGGGGCAGGGCTCAGACCCCCTAGAGCCGAGGGTGGGCCCCAGTTGCAGACTCCATTCCAGAAACAGCTGCTACCATCCCAGCTGCTGGGCAGGCCTGAACATGGTGACAGAGGCAGCCTGGGTTCTAGACACGGAGCAGGGACCTGGCTCGCTCTCAAGGGAGGGCTAAGGGCAGCAGGAATGTGGGCAGGACAGCCACAACCTCCTGGAGCGGTTATGATTCCTGGGCTGCACAGTGGGGGTGCCAGTATCCCCAAATGCCCAGGGCTGAGTGCTGGGCACACTGTGAGCACCAAACAAGGCCAGCCATCATGTGGTCACCACCTCTACTTGTGACTTGAGTCGGTCATTCAGCCTCAGTTTCCCCTCCTGCAGGGCCCTGCAGGGGACAGCGGGGAGCAGGTGCACAGTGACTGGCACATTGGGGGCTCAGTAACCACAGCTCAGGCCCCTCCCTCTAGCGATGGACTCGGGGAAGAGTCAAATCTGCTCGGTCTCCTGCCTCCCCTTCAGCCAGCGCAGACTCCAGTAAGGGGCTGAGCCACGGGGAACGGACGCCTTCAGTGCCCACACTGCAGCCTCTGGCTAGGGCTGGGGACCCAGGAGCCCCCAACGTGGCCCCTCAGAGAGCTCTGTGGGAGGATCCATGTCTGGCCCCTGGGCCTGGGCAGTTCACGGAGACCCCTCAGCTTCAGGAAGGGCAGGCCGGTTGGGGTCTTGCCCCCATGGCAGGAGGGGACCCACAGGGCCTGTACCTGCTGCTTGGGGCTGAGCTCAGCCGCTTGGCTCTCTTCTCCAGCCAGTCCTCCAGATGGCCCTCGGGGAGCTCGGCAGTGTCCAGCGGCCACTCTCTGGCCCGCCTCTCCTCTGTGGGTGAGGGGGGGCAAAGGCAAGTGAGGGGTACACTCATGCCCACCTGGACCCCACCCTCCCACAACGCAGCAGGAACTGGCAGGCCCCGGGGCACCGCAGCAACCTTCCAGGGCAATGCAGGCTAGGAGGAGCAGAGCCTTGGCTTGTCCCCACCACGCCTGCTGCCACCTCCCAAGGCCATCTTTGCACACTGAGGCCCAGCGCTCTGGGCTTCACTCTGTTTCTGCATCAATGGAGACGGAACCAGACCGGCTGCCTCCCACGCTCTTGGGGACTTGGAAACAGGACAGTGCATGTAAGGAGCCTGGCCCCCAGAAGGGCTTAATATCTGGGGTGCGGGCAGGCAGTGTGGGCCGTAGAACAGGGTTGAATCTCGGCTCCACCACCTGCCAGGTCTCTGACCCTGGGCAGAGTAATAAGCCTCAGTTTCCCACGTTTTTCTTCTCATAAGATGTCCTACAGAGACCATTGCTCAGTGAATTAAAAGCAAACAATGAATGGAATTCATATCCAGGCATGTGATGGGGTCAGAGTCTCCGGGTGGTCCGGGAGGGGCCTCAGGCCAGAGGAAAGCAGTCACACTCACGGACCAAGGCTCACGTGGGGCCCGGCCCTGGGCTAACACTGCATGGCGTCATCTCGCTTCATCTTCACAAGCGGTCACTTTGGACAGCCAGGACCCTGCCTCCAAGGGGTTAAGCCATATGCCCAGGTTGTAGGCAGAGCCAAGACTGCCTGGGCTGCCGGCTCCCAGCCCCCTCGGGCCTCTCCCTAACCCTGTCTCCACTAGGCATCATCATCTCTAGCTCCAGAATCCCTGGCCTGTGCTGTCCCCACCACGGGCCAGCCGTTCCCCGATAGCCCACGGCCAACAAAGATCTGGAGAGGCCGCTGCCGCCAGGACTCACTGGCCAGCCCCACAAGGCCGCGCCTCCACCCAGGAAAGCTCCTGGAAACCCTGTGTTGCTGCCAGGGCTGCAGCCGCACTGCCATCGCCATCGGCTTCCCAGGGTAGGGCACGGAGCCTGCCAGCTCTTCCTGGTCAGGGGGAGTGAGGCCCCGCGGGGGACGAGGGAAAAGGTCGAGCTGCCCCAGATACTGGCTGGCTGCCTGAGGCCACCTGGATAGGGAAGCGCGAGTGGCGGCACTCAAGAGACCTGGAGACGGCCTCTTGCTGGCTGGGGCTCATGCAGAGCCCTGGTGCCTGAGTGCCGGCCTCCATGAGGGCTGTGGGGGAAGATCGATAGTGCCCGTCCAAGGGGGCACTTCCTTATTCCCTGATAGGAGTGAGACGTGAGTCTCCCAAAGGCAGACAGGCTGGTTTCCATGGCAGCTGAGCTCGCCCGTTCCTGGAATCACCAGGCTGTGAGACTCCTGAGGGCAGGAGGCTGCTTTCTTCATCTCCTGGTCCCCAGAGCATCATGGGGACCTGCCTGGTGTCGTGGGGACTCAGTACGTTGCCGACTGAGGGAGGGACGGAGGGAGGGAGGGAGTGCATCCGTGCAGGAGAGCCAGGCCAGCCACAGGGCCCAGGTGAGGCTGAAGCACATTCTCGGGGCTCCTGGGCAGGAAGCCACATGTGGTCCTCTTTCGGGGGACACCGCCCTGGGCCTTCTCCGGTCATGTCTGGGCAGTTTAGAGGCCCAGGGCTCCTGGTCACCCTAAGCACCCCTCGGCCTCCCCGGCAGGGCAGCTCCCCTGGTCTCAGATCCCGCACTCCCAGGGGACCCCCCAAGACGCACCCTCCACCTGGATGCTCAGCTCCTGCAGGTCTCGCTCCGACATGTGGGAAAATCTGCAGTTGGAGCCAAAGTCGCACTGGCCTGTGACAGAAAGACAGAGTCACTCGCCGCTCAGGAAGGGCTCACGCTGTGGGCTGAGGGGTACCCTGCTGAGGGGATCCAGGGGTTTTAGGGGTGCGACTTCAGGGCCTGAAGAGCAGCAATCCCAGTCGGGAACAAAAAACTGGCTTCTCTGGCCCCAACACACTCAGCAGTCAGAGAGTGACCTATCTGACCCATCATGCCCTGCTCTTGACCCTTCCCTGGCGGCCCCCTGTGCTGGGGTCACACCCAACCAAAGCCTGTCATGACTGGGCCGCAGGAGCCTCTGTGGGCTGTCTCTCGTCACGAGCCACCCCCACGCCTCGAAGAACTACATGCGGGTTACTGAAAGGGTCATGCTTCCTGTCTCCACGCCAGGCCACTTGCCTCACCTCAGCAGTTGGACTGCTCCTCAGAAAGGCTTCAATGGCAGCTTTGCCAAGAAGGTACCAAGGTCCAGAGTGGCCTTCCCAATCCCAACCAAGGAGCCCAAAATGTGTCTCAAAATACTGGGAGACCAGAGGTGAACTCTGCGGGGAAGCCCCGTCTGCAGGCCTGGTGCCCATTCTAGAGGCGGCAACGCCTTCCTGAGGAGGCCGTGGCCATGCACCCAGCTGCCCTAGCTCAACAGCAGCAGCTCTCCCCAGTGCTAAGCTCCTGTACAAACCATGGGAATCATCACGGGTTTCCTCTTTGCCTTGGCTGCCAGGAAGCTCAGGGCCAAACCCTTAGAAAGTACACAGGACCTCCTGGGCAAGCATGGGGGAGACTATTCTCCTCGTTTTGTCTCATTTTTCCTCCAATTACTTTTATCTGTCTTTGGTTCCTTCATTTACTGGGGTTTTTATCACTTTGAACTACATGCAGCTTTAGCTGAGTATTGAGCAGTCTAATTAGCACCTAGCATCCTTGGTTCTGACTCTGAACTTCCTCAGATTGTTGGACCTATTACCATCCCCAGCAAGGAGGCCACGGAGGCAGCCAGGCTCCCAGGCTAATCTAATCAGCCAGTCTATTACACTCATCAGTGTCTGCTGGATTTAGCGGCAATCTCCCAGTGCTTGCTGTTCCACGGGGCTGAAGAAATCACATCCTAGGTCTGATGAGCCGAGGGCCTGGGAAGTCCTAAGGCACAACCCCCGGGAAAGCCCTGCATGACCAGTCAGCGAGAGCCAAGGCTGCAAAGTGGGCTCAGGCTGGTGGCCAGGGAAGGGGGAGACACTCTGCAGAGGTCCACGCAAGACAGACTGGCATCGCAGGTCCCCGCGGGGACCCGAGCTGGGCAGAGCACTTTACCTGTCAGTAGAAACTTCCTGCAGGGCCGCTTATTCTGCTCGTCCAACAAGATGGCGGCTGCGTCTGCGGCAGAAGAGAGGGGCCGGGTTCAGCCTGTGCCACCAAGGGAGTGGGAGGTGGAAGCCACAGGGGCGTGGACTTTAGCTGGACACGGTGGTGTGGAAGGAAAGGGGCTCCCCATCCATGGAGGAGTGTAAGGGGGTGGTGGGGGGACTGTTGGGCAGCAGATGAGCTTCAGGTGACCTCAGCCCCTCCCACCCCACCCAGGACCAGCCAAAGGCAAGAACTGGGTTTCAGGTCAGAGGTTCTCAACTTTGACTGCATGATGGAATCACCTGTCAAGTTTTGTTTTGTTTTGTTTTTTAATCCTGGCACCATGGCACCTCTCTTTGCAACTTCCTGTGATGCTATAGTTATGTCAAAATAAAATGCTAAAAAAGAAATAAATCCTGGTGCCCAGGAAGCCCACCAGCCAATCCTAGGGTCCGGGTGTTGCTCTGCAGGTGAGACTCAATCTCTGCTTTCTGCTTCCCTCCTCCCACCAGCTGCGTGTGGGGTGCTCCGGGCCAGACCAGCCACTGCCAAGGACAGGACTTCCCAGCAATTATTCTGGACACCAGCCCTGACCCTGGTTTCCTCTGATTTTTCCTATCTTTATTTTCATCATATAGTTAATGGTTTTAATTTTTGTATGCTTCTTGGTAGGCAGAGTATCAATCAGTTAAAATCCGTAAGTGAGTTAAATCCGAGGACGGTGACCTGACTCAGAGGCCCTGACACCCTCTGGGGGAGAGGAGAGGCCAGGCCTGAGCTGGACATTCACCCGTTTTTCTAGAGGCTGAGGAAGGACCATGGGTTCTGGAATCCGGGAAACCAGAGCTCAAATCCCAGCTACATGTGACCATGTGCAAGCTGCTTCCTCTCTCCAAGTCTCAGTTTCCCCATATGTAAAATGGGAGGAAAACTTCCCACCTGGCAGGGCTGCTGTGAAAATCTAATAATATAATGAATGGAGAGCACTTGGCAGAGGAGGCCAGTAATTTTCCAACCTTGGTAGCACATTAGAATTACCAGGAAAGTGACAAAAACCGGCCTCTGAGGCTGGGTGCTGCCCCTGCATTGCGATCTCCGGGTGGTGCTACCGTGCAGCCAGGACTGAGTGGGCGCTCAGCAGATGGCAGCAGTTCTTCCACCATTTCTTTTTTTTTTGAGACAGAGTCTCACTCTTTTGCCCGGGGTAGAGTGAGTGCCGTGGCGTCAGCCTAGCTCACAGCAACCTCACACTCTTGGGCTCAAGCGATCCTTCTGCCTCAGCCTCCCGACTAGCTGGGACTACAGGCATGCGCCACCATGCCCGGCTAGCTTTTTTCTATATATTTTTAGTTGTCCGATTAATTTCTTTCTATTTTTAGTAGAGACGGGGTCTCGCTCTTGCTCAGGCTGGTTTCGAACTCCTGAGCTCAAACAATCCGCCCGCCTCGGCCTCCCAGAGTGCTAGGATTACAGGCGTGAGCCACCGCGCCCAGCCCTTCCACCATTTCTTAAATTATTTTTTATTTTAAAATTATTTTTAAGTTTTTAAATTTTATTTATTTTTTTTAAGGAGACAGGGTCTCGCTGTGTTGCCCAGGCTGGGATGCAGTGGCTATTCAGATGCGATCGCATGCTGATCAGCTTGGGAATTTTGACCTGCTCCATTTCTGACCTGGGCCGGTTCCCCTCTCCTTAGACAACCCGGTGGCCCCAGCTCCTGGGAGATCACCATATTGATGCTGAACTTAGCGTGGATGCTTGATCAGCATTGCACACTACAGCCCAGAACTCCTGGGCTCAAGTGACCCTCCTGCCTCAGCCTCCCGAGTAGTTGGGACTACAGGTGTAGTCCAGATGCTACCACATCTGGCTCTTACTTCACTTCTTCCTCACAGACCCACTGTATTGTGCTAACATCCCCGTTTTGCAGAGGGTAAAAATGAGGTTCAGACAGGTGAAGTGATCTGCCCAACGGCACACAGTCGAGAAGTGGCAGCGCCAGATCTGACCCTGGTGTGTGCGAGTCTGAAGCACCTGCCCCTCCCCCTGCAGCTGCTGGTGTCCTGGTGTCAGAGTGAATGGCTGATGTCCATGTGGACTCCTCCCTGCCCCAGGGCAAGGCAGCTGGTGGCTAGGAGGTTGGCCTGGCAGGGCTGGGAGTTGGTTATCAGGGGACTCATGCCCAGGAGGCCTGGCAAAGCTGTGGGGGGGGCCAGCAGGGTGGGGAGGGTCCATGTGACAGTACTGGGCTTATCAGACTCAGCCCACCCAGCTGGTGCCACTGCCTGCCCTGCCCATCCCTCCCAGAGAAGGTGGGCTGGTGGAGGGCATGTGGACATTGCTGAGGACCCCCTCCCTGAGGCTAGGACAGCTGAGCCTGGTGGGGGGCTGAGCCCAGTCCCAGACAAAAGGCCCTGGCTAGGTGGCTCAGTGTGGGGGAGGAATTCCAGGCTGCCCGGCTTCTGGCTGGTGGTTCTCAACCTTAGCCACACATCAGAATCACCAGGTAGCTTTTCAAGTACATGGATATCTGGACCCACCCCCCTCTCAGGTTCTGCTTTAATTCATGGGAGGGGGAGAACATCAGAATTTAACGCTGCTCAGTGACTCTGAAATGCACCCAGGATTGAGGCCCCCCAGCCTGGGCCCTGCACAAGGAAGCCCATGCTCCTCCTCTGCTTGGCGTTCAAGGCTCCTTGTGATCCGACCCTATTGGTCCTTCTCACTTCATCTCCCAAAATGAACAGCTGCCCCTGGTGCCCCCGTTAGTCTGCCCATTCATTTAGACATTTATCTAACAAACATTCACTGAGCACGTCCTGTGTGCCAGGCACCAGGCCAGGAAGAGGATTTAAGTGAAGAGCAAGTCAGAGCTGGTCCTTCCTTCTGGTCCAGCAGTCACACTAATCTATGCGAATATAAACGGGGTAAACATCTAGCACGTAGCCAAATGACCTGACTGGCCCAGGGGTCAGGGAGGACGTCCCTGAGGATTCGCTGCCTGAGTTGAGTTCTGAGATGGAGGGACCTGGCTTGGGGCGGGGAGGACAGCAGGAAGGGCATGCCTGCAGGGGGGGCAGTACATGCCACAGTACGCGCAGTGTCCAGTGACGCTGCAGCCGGGAGGAAGAGGCTGGCAGGGCATGGAGGCCCGGATAGGATGGGGCTCTGCCGAGAACACATTGTTGTAATTGGGCACAAGGTCACTTAGAAGAGGAGCCCTATTTTATCCACTTGAATCTTCAGAGCTGGTCTGGGAGCCAAGGACATGCTGAATGATGGAGCCTGTGAGATGAAGGCCTGCAGCAATCCTTCTGAGGACCCTCCAGCACTGTTCCTGCTTAGTGGACCCTTGTGTGCCATCTAGCCACCATGAGCCTGCTGAGCCCGTCTCGTCCCTGCGAGGTGGGTACTGTTGTCATGGCTTTTGCTTCTCTTGGTAACTCTCTAAGCCAGGCAACCCTGGCTGGGGGTTAGGATCACCTGGAGACCTTTAAGTAAAAAACACTGACCCCTGACCCCCTCCCTAGAGGCAGGTTTTGTTGGGGTGGGGACCAGGCGAGGTGTTTTTAAAGCCTTCTGGGACAAAATGAGGGCCACACTGTTAGAGAGTGACACTTGGGAGGGACTGACACCCAGGCAGCCTGGCTCCAGGGCCCGTGCTTGTCCTGACCATGGCTGATGGGCTGCCATCCCCTCTGAGGGCCAAGGGACTTGCCCCAGGCCACGAAGCTGGGAGCAGAGCAGGAGTCGAGAGGAGCCGAGGCTGGGGCACGAGGTGCCTCCCCCAAGTCTGTGCGGTCGTTCAGGGTACGCCGGAGCCCTGGGCAGCCTCCTGAGGAAGTGGAAAGAGCTCAAGTGCCAGCTCGGCCCCAGCAGCTGGGGAACCCCTGGCCTGCCTAGCTCCCCTTGCTCTAACGGAGTTGTTCTAAGGATGGAACGTGGTCGGGATATGGGACGACACCGAGGACGCTAAGAACACAGGAGCCCTGAGGAGGGGCTAGTAGTGGCACCCGCTGTTTCACCTTTTCTGTAAGTGACACGAGGACCATTGCGATCAGCCCTGGCTCCATGCCAGATCACAGTCCCCACAGGGTTTGGGTGACAGGGAGCCTTTGCCTAACACCAGGGTCAAGGCCTCCCAGGGACCTTGGAGACCCCACTGCCCCTGAAATCCCCTTTTGTTCCCACTCCCAGCCAAGCCCGGGCTGCTGAGTGGCCTGGACACTGTCCCTCCACCTGAGCCTCAGCCTCCTCATTCGAAACGGGGAGACTGCGGGAAGGCTTTGAAAATACCTTGCCTGGTCCCCACCCCATCAAAACTGCCTCTGGGGATGGGGTCAGGGGTCGGTGTTTTTTCTTAAAGGTCTCCAGGTGATCCTAACTCCCAGCCAGGGTTGCCTGGCTTAGAGAGTTACCAAGAGAAGCAAATGACGAACCATGGAAATCACATGGCATGCAGCAAGCACTCAATAAATGCTCACTCCCTTTTCATGAATTCAGTCTCAACCAGGGAACTCTCTGTCCCCTTCTCCTCCCTTCTTGGCTACTGGGACTTGGTTCCTTCCTTCCAGGCTCTGGGCCCTGTCCCAGAATCCTGCTTCCCAACCTGTGGAGCACTAGCCCCACCCCAGCTCGTTCCAGAAGCTCCTGCTCCACCCTCACCCCACTGCCAAGCTCCCAAGTCTTTCAACCTAGCTCCTGCCCGGCCACGCTCTGGAACCTCCCTGGCTGTTCCCCAGTGTGCACGTCTCGTGACAGCCAAGCAGCAGCACGACTCCCCTCTATGGGCACCTCCCGATCCCCAGGCCCTGTGCTGGGCATTCAGCCTCACCTGCTCTGAGCAGCATTTCCCAGAAGAGCGCGTCCTCCCTCGCAGCTCAGCTGTTCGCCCGTCCCTCCAGGCAGTCGTTCAACCACCATTCACTGCACCCGACTGCTCCCCAGGCAGCGGAGCCAGCGCGGTCACATGTGGGGCTGCTGCTGCCCAAAGCCCTTCAAAGGCTGCCCTCTGCCCTTGGGACAAGGTACCCCTCCTTTACTATGGCCTCTGCTTCAGCTGTTGGCTCCGACATCTCTTCCTCCAAGAAGCCTTCTACCTGCCCAAAGTATCCCCAGAGCCTGGCAGGTGCCTGGAGCACAGAGCCCTTGGTCAAGGTCGCTGGAGAGAGAAGCTCCCATTCCAGCCTTCCCCTCTGAGGGTCCATCTGCCCCTGGGGACCAGCGGCCCAGGCCTCCCTCTCTTTTGATCCTCCAAGAGCCCAGCCCAGACCCAGACTGTCGCTGACCCACAGTGTCCCTTGTCTGATGATGAGAAAGATCAGAGACCAGGGCCCCGCAAGCCCAGCCACTGAGCCAGAGGACACCCACCTCGGAACATGTCGTACCAGACCTTCTTGGCCTTGAGGTGCTGCAGTCCATTCAGGTGCTTCTTCCGGTTGTGGAGGTTGTCCTGGAAGGAGCGGTCGCAGTAGTCACAGAAGTATCGCTTCCCCATGGCCACTTACGCTAGGTGGTGCCGCTGCCTGGGAAGCCACAAAGCACCTGATCAGACCATTGGAGAAAACGCCACACGCCAAAGCTCTGGCCACCCCCGACTCCCTCCCGAGGCTTCACTCCCATGTGCCCTGCCCCATAAACAGTGTCCGACGATTATGGCCTAAGAGGCCTCGTTCCAGAGGGATCTTTCTTTTTTTTTTGAGACAGAGTCTCACTCTGTTGCCCGGGCTAGAGTGCCGTGGCGTCAGCCTAGCTCACAGCAACCTCAAACTCCTGGGCTCAAGCGATCCTCCTGCCTCAGCCTCCCGAGTAGCTGGGACTACAGGCATGTGCCACCATGCCGGGCTAATTTTTTTTTTCTATATATTTTTAGTTGTCCGATTAATTTCTTTCTATTTTTAGTAGAGATGGGGTCTCGCTCTTGCTCAGGCTGGTTTCGAACTCCTGAGCTCAAACAATCCGCCCGCCTCGGCCTCCCAGAGAGCTAGGATTACAGGCGTGAGCCACCGCGCCCGGCCAGGGCCTGGTATTTCTTGAAGCTCACCAGGTAATTCTAACACGTAGCTGGGCTGGAGAATTACCACCTATATGCTCTGGCCAGCCTCTCTCATCTCCCACCACACCTCTGACCTCTGACCTCTGACCTCCCTGCTCTCTCCATGCCAGCCACACCAGCCTCCTATTGGCTCCTAACACATGCCAGGCACACGGCCACCTCTGGGCATGTGCATCTGCTGTCCCCTCGGCCTAAGTGTTCTTCCCCAGGGACCTGCCACACTTGCTCACTTGGCCCCTTCAATCTTTGTTCAAATACTGCCTTCTCAGTAATTTACTGTGACTTTATTTATTTAAAATAGCAGAACCATCCATTAGCTTCTTCCATTCCCTGCTTTATTTTTCCTTGAGACACCTACCACCTCAAGTAATACTTGTTATGTTTATTGTCTTTCTCTCCTAACAAGAACATAAATCCATGAGGACAGGTGTATTTTTGTTTGGTTTATTGCCAGAGCCCCAGCACCTAAAATGCTGCATGGTACAGAATAGGTAATCGAGTATTTACTGAATAAATGAATGAATCCCCATTTGCCCTTTGGGGCAACAGAGGTTTAGAGAGAGACGTGATCTTCCCGAGGCCACACACAAGCAGAAGCAAAGCCAGGCCCCCTAAACTTGCACTGCTGGGTGTCTTCTCTTCCATGGCCGGCTCGCGGCTTGGAGAAGCCACCACTCCTGACCCAGGAGATCTGCAGCCCAAGGTGGGCAGCAATTCAATGACTCTCATGGCCGGCCCTGGGGTCCCTCAGTTTGGTGCCACAAGAACACAGGAGGAATGGATCCTCTCAAGGTCATCAAGTGGGATCTGCAAAGGCTGAGCCCAGACCAACCCTTCACCCTGTGGTCTAAGCCCTCACTTCACAGAGCAGGTTCCTGAGGCCCAGAGGAGGAAGGGAAATGACTTCCCCAAGGTCACAAGGTAGCCACCCAGGCTTGCAGCAAAAGCCCCAGCCTCCAGGACCCGATCAACAGAGCAGATGGGTGGAGGAAGAGAGTGGGGAGAGACATGGAGACGAGCAAGCCTCCTGAACAGTCCCTGCAGCCAAGCAGGGTGATGGAGAAAGCCGCTCTTGCGGCAGACAGGGACAGCAGCCATTAAGTCAGGGGCTGTAATGGGATCGGGAACAGTCATTCCAAATGAAAACATATAAAACCTCTCTTCTCCCATTACTGCTGAGAAGCTGCATCTCAGACACGCAGACTTGATATATTAAATTTGGCAGCTCCAATACACCCCATCTTGCCAATAAACTTACAGGAATTGGATTGAAATTGTAAGAGATGAACGTTTAACGGCCGACTGCTAAACCAAGCCATTCATGAAGCCTGAAGCTCCAAGGAGCTGCTGGCTCTGGGGAAGGGAGGGGCAGAGGAGTGTGTCTCTCTGGGAGACAGAAACGGAGCAGTGGCTCTGCCGCAGACTCAGCTGGACAAAGCCACACAGGCATCGAGTGGCCAGCTGTGTGACCTTGGGCAAGTCACTTCCCCTCTTTAGGCCTCTACTTTCTCTGCAGGAATGGGAGGCAGCAGGTCTGGCTGATTGCTTAGGGAGTGGTGCAGAGAGTTTGCTAATGCAAACGGTAAAAACGACACTCATAATGTCTGGTACCGAGCAAGTGCTCAGTAAATAAAGAGCACGGGCTATTATTAGAGCTAGTGGTTTACTGAGTACCTACTATGTGCCAACGCTAGGCTAAAAGCTTTCTGTGCATCATCTCACTTAATCCACAGGACAACCTGTGGGGTAGGGCTTGTTAGGTTCTAAGAAGTGAAGGGCTTTAGTCAAGGTCATGAGCTCAAAAGCAGCTGAGCTGGGCTTAGAATCCGGGCAGCAAGGCTCCAGAGTCCACGCTCCTAATCACTTAAGGAAAGTCTCTCCCAACAAATCATACCGGTGACAGCTTTCCTTATCATCACTCACTACACCCCTGGACCATGCTATCCTCTTTGAACCCCGAGAGGTATTATAATCCCACTTACACACGAGGAAACTGAGGCTCAGAGAGGTGCTGTGAGGTGCCCCCAGTCACACGTGTAGGCAGGGCAGAGCAAGTCTTGGTGTGCCTGGGCCTCAGGTCTGCTGGGAGAGCCCGTGTCCACGCTTTCATGCTAACTGTCCCGAATACCAGCTCGCCAGGAAATCAGATCGCATGCCCTCTGCCTGCCTTCCCGGCCACACTCTGCCCCACATGACGCACCCTCTTGCTGGGCTGTGTGTGTGTTTTCTTCTCTCTCACACATGCACATACCCATGGGGGCAAACCAGCCAACAGTTCCATTCCCATCCTCATCTCATCAGCCTCAGCCAAGGGCCACAGCCCGCCCATGCCCTCTTCTGCCCACACCCTCCTCTGGCACACGGGAAGTGCTCAGCGATCTCAGATGGACCAATGGGTCCCTGAGTTCTAGTCCCAGCTTTGCCAGATGAGCCTGTGGCTCAGTCACGTGCCCTCTCTGGGCCTCAGTTTCCCCATGTGTGAAGCGGCAGGACCCAGTGATCGCTAAGGGCCTCTCCAGTTCTGGTATCTGATGACCAGATGAGCGGTGCCTGCGACGGTGCCTTCCACCCTCCGTCACAGACGCACGCTCAGGCTCTGGCCAGGAGAACAGCGGGCAGCACAGTGCCTCACTGAGCACCTCACCCTGTGAAGCAGGTCACATCAGCCCCATTTCACCTCCGAGAGAAGGACACTAAGGCTGGGGACAGCACTGAGCATTGGGACCTGCAATCACCTCATTTAGGTGCCTGGGGAGGTCGTGTGGGGAAAGGGTTAAGAGCTGGGCTCTGGCATCAGATGCCAGGGTTTAAACCCAGGTGCCACTGCTTTCTAACTCTGTGATCTGGGGCCATTATTTAACTTCCGGCCACGGTTTCCTGCTATCAAAACTGGGATCACAATAATGCCCACCTCAGGGGTTGCTGGGAGAATCAGATCATCCAGGCACTCACTTAGCACAAAGCCAGGCCCACAGGAGGCCCTTGAGAAACATGGGCTGTCATCCCCCTTGTTATTGTCCTCCAGGAAACAGAGGCTCAGACAGGAATAGAATGTCAGTGCTCAAGTGACCTCTGGGGTCAGCTGTCCATATTACAGATGCGGAAAGTGAGGCCAGGAGAGGGGAAGTGAGTTGCCCAGAGTACACGAGAGGCAGAGGCGGCCGTGGCTCTGAACTCCAGCTCTGCAGAGCCCCACTGTCCAGGGATGGCAGCGGGGGCCACTCATCCTGCCTACTTCACAGGCATGTCCCCGAGGCCCCGGTCCTGGGCAGGAGCTGGCCTTCAGCAAGGTGACCTTGGCCGTGTGTGAACTTCTAGGGCTCCCAACCCACCTGCCCCTTGCTCTGGTGCCTCTGAACGTGTGAGGACGAGGTGCGGCTGCAGAATCCTCCGGACAGACGCAGTGCCCGGCCAAACACACCACTTGGCAAGCAGCACGCTGGCTAGATTTCAGCTCCAACTCACCCTCAGCCAGGCGTCCTTGCACAAAGCACAACCTGCGCCACCGTGCTTGGCAGCCGTGAGTCGGGGATCAGGGACAGGGGAGGGAGGGGGGCAGATGGAGAGTTTCTAGACGGCGCCCAGACACCAGCATGGGTGCTGACTAAGCTGGCCCTCTCGGCTGTGATTCATCCTCATCCTCTGAGGGTGGCGTGCTCGGCAGTGTGTGAGCGAGGTCCTGTCTAGAACACAGAACCATTCGGCTCCACTCCTCCGGGAGAAACACAGGTGGTGCCACCCACCCACTCCCAGGGACCAGGTCCACGGCTGCAACAGTGTCTGCGGGCTCCTCAGAGCTTTGCCCGCTGAGAGTGCTGGCTCCGGGTGGCCAAGGGGTAGCGGCCAAGGCTAGTGGGACAACACTCTGGGGTCACACAGGTCTGGATTGGAATTCCAGCTCTGCCACTTAGAAGCTGGGTGACCTCTGGACAGTTATTTCGTCTCCCTGAGCCTGTGCTGACCTATGAAACAAGGGTCCCACAGCTGCTGAGGATTTCCCGAGGTTTGCAGTACATTAAGGAGTGTGGCGTCCAGTTAGCGCTCAAAGAGCGGAGGCTGTTACTGTGGTTACTATCATCACGCAGGTGGTCCACTCCCTCACCCTCTTGGTGAGCACAATTAAAGCTGCAGTCAAGGTCAATGCCACAGGCACTTCTGCCTGTCCTTATAAGCATGCTCCCATGCCCACAGCTGCGTGGGGACGAACAAGCGAGTGAGCAGCCTGCAGAAGCCAAGGCCTCGCCAACCCTCTTGTCCTCAATCTGGGTACAAAGACGAGGGTAAATACAAAGAGAGACACATCAAGCCCTAAAGGCAGGTCTCTCACTGCCACCACCAGCCCTCCCCGCAGGACTTGTGTCCAGCAGGGCCCTGGCCTGACCCTGTTCCGCTGACTTAAACCCCGTCTGCTGCCTCATGGCCCCGGACTTCAGTCCTCCAGGCTCAGAGAAAACACAACTAGTCAAGACA